ATCTGGCAGCCATGCTGGTTCTGTGAACTTTGGCAAGTTGCGAGAGAGAGGGCAGGAAGGGTTGCCTCAGTGCTTAGTTCATGTGGCCCTTTCTTACACACCCAGGGAATTGCTATTCGCCACGTTGGGGTCAGGAAGCAATTTTATCCAGGCCACTTTGGCCAGGGATCCTGAAGGTTTTTTGTCATCTTCTGGGCATGGAACAGGGATCACTGGGGGTGTGGAGGGGGAGGTATTTGCGAATTTCCTGCATTGTGCATTGGGTTGGACTAGATGACCCTGGAGGTCCCTTCCAACTCTATAATTCTATGACCTGGGTTCTGTCCAGTGTTCCCTCTAAACTGAGTTAGTGTGAGCTAGCTCACAGTTTTTTAGCCTCCGGCTCACACATTTTTGTCTTCGCTCAGGAAGGATGGCTCCAGGGCAAACTAATTTATGCAGTAGGCAAATTGCTGGCTCACAACTTTAATGCCAGCGGCTCACAAAGTAGAAACTTTGCTCACAAGACTCCACAGCTTAGAGGGAACATTGGTTCTGTCCCAGCCTGCCACGAAATTCACCAGCTGATCGTGGGCCAGTCGTCATCTGTCAGTCTCACTTACCTCACAGGGCCATTGTAAGGCTAGAACGTGGAGGGGTGAGCAGAGGAAAACTGTATACACTGCGGAGGAGTCTAGCTTGGCCAAAAGGCAGGATAGACCTGTGATTGCAGCTTACCGTGTGTGTGTGTGTGTGTGTGTGTGTGTGTGTGTGTGTGTTTTCTCTCCCTGGCTCCAGCAGTGTCAGCAGCAGGCATCCCCTTGGTCAGTGGCTTGGCGCTGGGGATGGGGAACAGTTTCCTCCCAGGAAAACCACGCGGGATAAAGCTTGACTGTATTCCCCCTCCTCAGCTTCCTGACTGCTCTTTTCATTCATGCATTTTTTAAAAGGCGCAAACCTCTCAGGGTTGCACTGAGACTTCTCCAGACTGACAAAAGTTACTGTGCATTTTAAGAGGTTAATAAGGTCGCCGTGGGCTGTAACAGTGCTGAAGGCAAATTGGAGCGCTTCAAATGTAGTGATTCACTCAGTTCGGTGTGGTCCCCCCCTCCCCCGCAGGCTGATCTAGTGACATCATTTATATTTTATTTTTGCCTAGCCTGAGTGTTATAACCATTCCAACCTTTGGGGTTAAGGGTTCTATTTATTTCCTTTCTCGATTCTTGCCACTTACATCAGGGCTGGTCTGCACCCATCCCACGCCCTTCCGGAGGGCCCTCTTACTGACCCTGAAAAGATTTGAGGGGGAGGGGAAGCACAGGAAGTGGTCTCAGGAGGCAGGAGAGCCCTGAGCCATGAACACACCTCTGCTTGTAAAGCTGCTACTTAACCCTCTCTGTTGACGTGAAATACTTATATGCCACCTTTGTCACCGACCACAGCTTGAAGGAGCTTCGGTGAAATGCACCGCCTTGCACGCCATGCGCTCATTGTGGGGAGAGCTTCCATGATGGCTGCACATGTTCTTGGTGGGGGGAGGGAGGGGGGTGGCTAGCACTGGAAACATGCAGTGCCATTCTGGAAGTTGTATGGGGCACACGGCGCAGAAGAAGCCGCATCAAGCAGATACAGGATGATTTAAAAAATAACTTACAGAACTTGGTCTTGCATCCAAGTTCTGTAAATTCTTCCCTCTGCAATGGGAAAGGCCAGGAATGCTCTCTTCCACACACCCATTTTAAAAAGCCTCCAGGTCAGATCGGGGAGAATGTTCTCGCCCAGGGGCCCCCAACATGGTGCCTGCTGACAGCTTTCCGGGCGCCCTCCAGGTGTTTTTAGACAGTGAGCGGGGCCAGGTGGGGCTTTTGCCCAGCGAGGCTTCCAACTGGGGGATCCGATCAGCTGTGCAGATTTTTAAGAGTGTTGCTGCTGTCAAAGCTTCACTGTGTGTCTGAAAGTGAGCGGCAGCCACCGTTTTGTGGCTGGCTCCGCCCCTTGTGGCAGCCATTTTGTGGCTGCACCCACCACTCTGTGTCAGGATTCCAAAGGTGCCTTCAGGCTCAGAAAGGTTGGGGACCCCTGCTCTAGCCTCGCCTTTCCGATATTTCTGATATGGGGGAGCATTCAAACACACGGCCCCCCTCTACAGTCTGAAGTGAAATGGTCCTGTCAATGCTGTACCACATTGGATCTCCCCCCCAATAAATCTGCAGCCATGAAGTTGTAGTGTGAGAAGAGAGGCCGACATCCAACCTTGTCCCTCCAAAGTCAGCAGTGTCTCTACCCGTATAAAATGGCCTCTCACCACCCCTTCCTTCCCTAAGCTTCCCCAAGGGCCATTTAGAATCATAGAGGAGGGGAAGAGAAGAGATTGGATATGTACCCCACCCTTCGCTACCCGAGGGAGTCTCAGAGCGGCTTACAACCCCTCTCCCTTCCCCTCCCTGCAACAGACCCCCTCTGAGGTAGGTGGGGCTGAGAGAGCTCTTCGAGAACTGCTCTTGAGAGAACAACTCTAAGAGAACTTGTGACTGACCCGAGGTCACAGCTGCATGTGGAGGCGTGGGGAATCAAAGGGACCACCAGGGTCATTGAGTCCAACCCCCTGCACAATGCAGGAAATTCATAAATACGTCCCCTCTACACTCCCAATGATCCCTGCTCCATGCCCAGAAGTTGGCAAACAAATTTATTTATTTATTTATTTATTTATTTATTTATTCCTTCGATTTGGTATACCGCCCTAACCCCCGTAGGGGTCTCTGGGCGGTTTACATGGGAGAGGTGCTAATCACTTTTATACCCTAACTTAGGCCACATTGTTCTGGGGGGTGGGACTGCCTACCGGCACCCAGGTGGAGGCTGATGTCTCTTTTGGTCCGGCTTGGCTCCATTCCCGGCAGTCTACTGGCTGGTTGGATGTTTCTTCTGGTGCTTAGGCAGTCAGGCACAGAGTCAACGTCCTCCTCTGGCCGGCTGCATCCTTCAGGCTCCGCCGCGCCCGTGGATGACGTCACCGCGCGCCTCCGCTTCCGCTGAACGACAGCCACTCGCTGTTTCTGCCACTGGCCACCAGGGATTGCTCCTCCGGTCCCGCTGCTGCTGCTGTGGGTATAAACGAGGACACGTCTGATCCCCTCGAACTACAATCAGAGGATATATCATTTCAACAAAGGAGACACTCTTTACAGTGTGCCTTTTCTCCCATATGACTTTGGACACTTGAAGCCACCTTGTCCTGAATCGGCCCATTGGTCCATCAAGGTCAGTATTGTCTACTCAGACTGGCAGTGGCTCTCCAGGGTCTCAGGCAGAGGTCTTTCACATCACCTACCAACTGGTTCTTTTAGCTGGAGATCAGAGAATTATAGAGTTGGAAGGGACCTCCAGGGTCATCTAGTCCAACCCCCTGCACAGTGCAGGAAATTCACAAATACCACACCCCCAGTAACTCCTGCTCCATGCCCAGAAGATGGCAAAAAACCTTCCAGGATCTCTGGCCAAACTGGCCTGGAGAAAAATTGCTGCCTGACCCCAAAGTGGCAATTGGCATTTCCCTGGGTGTGTAAGGAAGGGCCACAAGAACTAAGCACTGAGGCAACCCTTCCTGCCCTCCCTCTCATGATCAACCGCTCTAACGGTCAGGAAGTTCTTCCTAATGTTTCGCCGAAAACTCTTTTTGATTTAATGTCAACCTGTTGGTTCTGGCCCGTCCTTCTGTGGCAACCGTTTTCTCATCCATTTCTCTCTTATCCCCCCCCCCCAATATCTTGTTCTCTTCCAAGTCCTTTGTAAATTAGTTGCTGATGTCTGTCTTCCTGAGCAAACATCTTCCTCCTGTGTAAGGAATGACGACAGCACCACCCCCCGCGCGCGCACACAGCCTCTGGAGTGAATGTCTTTCTGTGTAGAGAGTTGGTTTCTTTGGGCCGCGGATCAGAACAAAACAGCTTTTGAGAGAAAGAAGCGCAAGCTTTCCGACCACAGGAAAGTAGGGCAGAAATAGCAGCAATGTTTAATATTTGTCGGTTCACAGTTAGCAGGGACGCTGGTCTCCTCTTGTAATTGGTATCAAGTTATGAAATCATTTGCAGCTTGGGAGCCGTAACCGAAGTTCCTTCGGGGCTAGAATTCTTTGCTTTAATTAACAGGAAACATCTGAAACTTCCTTTGCTACCTGCCCTTGCACTGTACACATGTTGATTGTTGTTCCTCCCCCCCCCACCCCAAACGATGCTCTTCCAGTATCAAATAAAGATAAGTGAGAGAATAAGGCTACCCAATTAATAATTTGAGCCTAATTTTCTGGAAAATGAAGACTCTGCATGATGGCAAATCGCCAGAACGCTTTAGCATCTGCTCCTGCGTTTGGTGTTCTCAGCGGTGAGAAGTGACCTTTTCCATTGGTCTGCATCTCTGTAGCACTCCTTTGTAGGTCTTGTGCCTTGGAAAGAGTCTGAAATTAACTTTCATATGCCTCCTTTAAAAGAGCAAACTGCGAGGGGTTCCTTCTCTCCCACCACCCCGCTCTTAAGGATACCCACAGCAGAAACCCACTAATCTCTCTAGCCGCTCATTAACAGTCGACCATCTCACACTGGCCTTAGACCCAGCTTTGTGGGGAGTGCAGGCCAGATCTCCTACAAATGGCATCGAGGCGGCAGAAGGGGCACTGCATTGCATTGCCTTAGATTACCAGCAAGGCAGTCTTCCGTCACATGGCGTGCAGGGGTAAGCTGGCACAGACAATGGACCTCCATCAGCCCGTTCGATATTCCCATTAATGGCATCTCCAGGTTCAGAGGCCGTCCCCAAAGGCCAGCTGCTGAAGGGTAATGCTGGTGGAGGGGCTCTTAACAGTCTCTCCTTGCGAGCTTCCAAATTCCGATAGCACGGCCACAAGCTTTCGTCGTTCTGCAAGCGGTGACCTTCTCATTTCTCAGTGGGGAATGGGGAACTGGGCCCATCCCTGGCTCCCCCCTTCCAATCTGCTGACAGTTGTCTTGTGTGTGTCGTTGCAGGTGCTCTCACCGTTGGCCTTGTGCGACAGTGTCAAACCATCCACGGACGTGACAGGACCTGCATCCCTCCCCGGTTGCCCCCGGAGTGGATCACCACCTTATTTTTCATCATCATGGGCATAATTTCACTGACTGTCACGTGCGGCTTGTTAGTGGCTTCCCACTGGCGAAGAGAAGCGACCAAGTACGCCCGCTGGATAGCATTCACTGGAAGTAAGTGTGCCTCTCTGGCCCGTTGAGGAGGCCCGCCTGTCGGCCGGGCAAGTGAGCAGTCTCACTTGGAACGCCCTCCTCTCAGAAAAGATACCATCTGGCTGGCGAAGGGGCGGCCAGGATGATCAAGGGGTCAGAGCTCCTTCCCTACAAGGAGAGGCTAAACAGTACAGGTTTTGTTGCTTTTGGCCAAGGGAAAAAAAATCTCTGATGCTCTTTCCAGGAGTTCAGGCTGTGGAATGTGTTGTTCTCCCTTCCCTTTTCTTGTTCCCCAGACAGCGAAGAGGCTGAGAGGCTTTTTGATCTGGGTCCACGAGCACCTTGGAGACCAACAAGAGTTTCAGAGTGTCCGCTTTCGAGAGTCAAAGCAACTTTGTTTACAGTCTTCTTCTTTTTCTAATTGGGTCGTTTTGATAAGGAGGAGAAGCCTGCTTTGGTTACTGATTTGTAGCCGGGCCATGCCAAACGTGGGCTGATGAAAGTTCCTGCCTTTCCAATTAAAACATCTTCCCAACGGCACTGTGGGGTAGTTTAGGCTGAGAGTGAGACCGACTGGCCCAAGGTCACCCAGCAGACTTCACGACACAGTAGGGGATCTGAACCGAGGGCTCCCAGATTCTGTTGCAGCCACTACACCACACTGTCTGCCTGGCTCCCTCCGACTAGGGAGGGATGTGATAGAGGCTTATAACATTAATGGGTGTTATCTTGGGGGGGGGGGGAAGGGAGAGTGACTCCTGCTCCCATAATTCTACATCTCGATGAAGTTGATGGGCTTCATGTGCAGGACAGACCGAAGGAAGTTCTCCTTTACACTCCTCTGGCCCTGACCTGGATAGGCCCAGTCAGCCTGATCTCGTCAGATCTCAGCAGCTAAGCAGGGCCGGCCCTGACTCGCACGTGGGTGGGAGACCACGTGACACAGAGGCGGGGAATGGCCAACCACCTCCAAACGTCTCTTGCCTTGAAGCCCTACAGGGTCGCCATAAGTCGTCTGTGACTTGACGGCAGGTAACTTGCTTACGGGATTCACTGCCGCACGATCCATTGATGGCCATTCCCGTGGATGGCTTCAAAAGGGGCTCAGCTGAATGTGTGGACTCCTAGTCCTGTCAACAGCTCGTGGTCCTGATGGTGAAGTAGAGCTCTGTTCAGAGGCACCATGCTTCTGGCCGACGTTTCCTGTGTGCCTCTCCAGGGGCACTCGGGGGGCTGCTGTGGGGAAACAGGGTGCTGGACCAGATGGGCCTTTGAGACTGATCCCCTGGGGTTTGCACCCTGCTGGCCTGGCCTTGCGCTTCTGAGCATCTCTCACAGGAAGAAGCTTCTCCCCGGCATGCAGGGAGCCTGCCTGCCTGCTCTCCCCTTCTCCAGCCCAGGAGAGGAGGAGGAGGAGGAAACCCACCAGGGCCAAAGAACAGACCTGGCTCGTGATTCCCTGTCACTGCCAATCAGAAGCCATCCCGCCAGTCACCAGAAGCGCCGTGAACTCTGTGACTGTTGTATTCTTCCTGCAAGTCATTCGGAGTGTTGACTCATTAGTTTGTGGGCATATCACCAGTTTGGAGGGAGACACCAGCCGCGGGGCGGGCAGGTGTCTGTCTGTTCTGCTTCGGCAGGGACCCGAGGCTGCCCTAGGAGCTGGAGAAGAGGGAGATCCCCAGGGGTGCCTGCCTTTCCTCACCTGGATGCTTCTCAGCCTGAATTGTACCCTTCTGGGGTAACTAAATTTGATGCTAGTTATTTACGTATGTATTGGATTTATAGCCCGCCCTCCCCTGCACAACAGGGCTCAGAGCGGGTAGCAGCAACCATCAGATAAAATTCTTAGAAACTCTTACACACCACTAACAATCAATACGATGGCACAATACCATACCCGTTGTCCTGGGGGGAAAGTAAGTAACATACAGATTAATAAATAAGGGAATCACAGCAAGGGGGGGGGGAAGAGGAGGGAAAGGCGGCCAGTCTTAATGAAAACCATCGTTTCTCCTCACCCACAGTCCTGGCGGAACATCTCAGTCTGACAGGCCCTGCAGCACTGCACCTGGTCTCACAGGGCCCAAGTCTCCCTCCAGAGAGAGTTCCACCAGGTCAGGGCCAGGGCTGGAAACCTGGCTCTGGTCGAGGACAGCTGGGTACTTTTTGGGCCAGGGTCCACCAGTGAGTTGTTAACCACGGAGCGTAGTGCTCTTTGGGGGGATAACGAGGGAGAGGCGGTCCCACAGATACGTTGGTCCCAGAGCGTTTAGGGCTTTAAAGGTTAGTACCTAAACCTTGAATTGGATCCGGTATTCCACTTGGAGCCAGTGCGGCTGGCGGAGCACCGGTTGAATTACGAGCTCCTAAGGGGAGTTCCAGTGAGAACGCGTGCCATCGCCTTCTGAACCAGTTGGAGTTTCTGGGGCAGCCTGAAGGGTGGCCCCGTGAAGAGCGAGCGACAGTAATCTAATCTGGAGGTGACAGTTGCACGGATCACTGTGGCTAAATCCGAGTGAGGCAGGGAGGGAGCCAGCTGTCTAGCCTGGTGCGGATGGAAGGGCCTGATAGTAGACCGAGGGTCGCCATGTCGGTCTGCGGGAGAACCGTTGGATTCAAGCCCAGGAGCGCCTCAGAGACCCACAAGAGGGACTTTAGGGCTTGCATTTGGGGGGGGGGGGGCACCAATATTTTAAACCAAATAAGAGGAATTGCAGAAGTTTGGGTTTTTTAAAAAACCCTGGAATTTCCTAGTGTTGGCCAAACAATTGGACCAGTGTGACACTGAAAAGCCACTTGAGCGAAGGGCTTTCTAGCTAGGTAGCCCAGGCTAGCCCAGCTCTCGGAAGCTAAGCAGGGTCAGCCACGGTCAGTACTGGTATGGGAGACCCCTAAGGAAGTCCAGAGACAGGCCATGGCAAGCCACCTCAGCCCATCCCTCGCCCTGGCTTGGGTGGCCCAGGCTAGCCCATCTTATCAGATCTCGGAAGCTAAGCAGGGTGGGGGGGGTGTCCTGGCTTGTATTTGGAAGGGAGACCCCCAAGGAAGGCCAGGGCTGCTCTGCAGAGGCAAGCCTACCTCTGTGTCTCTCTTTGTCTCTTGCCTTGAAAACCCCACCTGCGGGATCAGCCATAGTTGCAACTTGACTAGGAAGGGCAGCCCTTTTACTTTTAAGGGTCTCTCCCTCTTCTGCCACAGCTTATTCTGGAATTAATTAATGGGAATTCTGGAACCATCAATGTCAATCTGTAAGCGCCCTCTAGCGGCTTGCACTGCAGTTCTGGTCATCAGAACAGCCCGGGTCTTTCTGCGAGAGGAGAGGGAACTGAGATGGGTGGATGGAGCCAGCCGTCTGCGTGGCCCTGTGCCTTTCACGCGTCCTGTCGCTGACCTGACTTCTCTTTCCTTCCAGTGATCCTCTTCTGCATGGCAGCCCTCATATTCCCAATAGGTTTTTACATCAACGAAGTGGGCGGCCAGCCTTACAAACTGCCGAACAACACCGTGGTCGGGTCGTCCTACGTACTCTTTGTTCTATCCATTTTCTTTACAATAGTCGGACTTCTATTTGCTGGCAAAGTGTGCTTACCAGGCTGACGGCCGCCTTCGCCAGCTTCACTCGGTCATGAAGGAGAGCAGAGCGTCCGCCGCATTCTCAGGAGGGTGCCTACGTCGGGCTGTCGCGGTCTTATCGTCAACGAGGAGGTCTCTGGTGTCGGTCTCGCTATGCACTTTGAATATTTTTTTATTGAGAGAGAGAGAGAGAGATGTGGAGAGCCTTTTCCATAAACCAAATACAGCCACCTTTCACTCCTCCTCCTGAGCGCCTGCAAGAAGTTGGGCGCGCACTGTGACAAGGAGCGAGCGGAGAAGGAGACTCGACAGTCGAGCAGAGGAGGATTCTCGACCACCGAGGAGCAGCGTCTCTCTTGCCCCCCCACCATCACTGTACTGTGTGCCAGTTTTTAAATGTTTTGACAGTTTTGAAAGTCTCAAAAGAAAAGTATTTATGAACTTTGGTCGACCAGAGGTTTGCCAAGGGCGTTAAAGTGGGGCTGGCCCCACTGCTTAAGTAGATTAGCATCTTCCTTCTGTGACAGGCAAAGAAGTGTTTGCCACCAAAAAAAAGAGGTCAATTTCAAATTAACTGCACCCCAAAGCCAAGAGATCAAAAGAGGTTCTCAGAAATCTTTTGCGACAAAACATGTCCCCCCCCTTCTTCCCCCCCCCCCCCCGTCTGCCCCATGAGCTGTAGGAAACACACTGGGGGTGGGAGGGAAAAGGGGCATCCTTCCTTTATATTTATATAAATATATATACATATTTTGCTGATGTGGTATACCGAATGTGTATACATATATATGTATATATATACGAATACACAACCTAAGAAAGCTTCTGGAAGAGAACTCCAAGTGCTTTGCTAGCGAAATACTGTGGTGTGCAAAACTCAGTAGGAAAAAAGAGAAGGAAAGGAAAACAAACAACATACACAAACACACAAAGCCATTTCTTCTGAAGGCTGCCGAGCTGACAGGTCTTCAGTTTACCTCAATCTTTGTAGCAGCCCTTGATTTTCACAGGTCTGTCTTGTTTTTCTCCCTGTGCTAAGGTACATACCCATGCCTTCCTCGGTGCAATTTTAAGTTAAGCTAAAGTTTCTGTGTACGGTAATTTATTTGTGCGTTGCAGGGAATAGAAGGCAACATCATGTCATCACCCTCCAAGGTCAAACCCCACAGACGGGATGATGCACTCCTTTAAACTGTGAGCAGCTGTTGTATTCCTGGGACGGGCCTCCTTTCCACCTCTCGCTCTCCCCTTGGCCAGGTTTTGGCTTTGATCATTACATTAATGTGAGTTTCTGCCACAGCTTATCTGCCACGGAGAGAGATCTCTACTCAACTGTAACTTGAGCTTGGGGAGATGGCAGCGCAATGGGAAAGTGTTACATGAAGTCCCTCATCGTTACCAAAAAGGGAGCCAGTCTGGTCATCTGGCGCCCCCCGTGTCTTGTCCTGGCATGCAGAACTATCACTGGGCTTTTGCGATTTGTAGCATCAAGTGCCACTCTTGTGTTCTCTCTGAGCCCAGTATTCCTGAGTTAAAACGCACCAGTTGCTGAATGGATGTGTGGCCGGTCCTGGCCTTTGATACTCCCACAAAACAGAATCTTTGGGCGGGGTAGGGTAGCTAGGGCCTCGAGATCACGGGGAACAGTAGCTGAATTCTTTTGGAATTAAATGAAGATGGGTTGGTAGTCACTGCCAGGTGCTTTTCGACATAACAGAGGGCGCATTGGCGTCACCCTGAGGGGGCATCCCCCTGTGGCGGGAGGGTCATTTGTGCTGGTGTGTCATAGGAGTAGTGTGAGGTGGGCTACCAGTTGCCTGTGGCCAGTGCTGTGATCGGCACAAAGCAGAGGGGTTTCTCCAACATGGAGACAGATCCCTGACAAAGGCCAAAGTCCACTGGTGTGTTTTTTCCTCTCTCCACCCCTCCCACTTGATTCTGAGGTTTGGGATTCTCAGTGGTGGATGAATGGGGTACCGTTTGTAAGTGATCTGCAAATCGTGCTAGCTTTCCCATCACAGTATTATTGCAAGGGACTAACTTGGCAATGTTATCAGATTTTTCTTCTGTAGAATTCATGGTTCATTCTCTCTGATGTTATTTTGTCTCTCTTTTCCGTTTGTCCAAGCGAGAACTCATGAACACTTATGTATTCGCGTAGCTTTCTGAAAATATACTCCCCCCCCCCCAGACCTTTCTGGTTTAGGTTCGAATGATTTCCAAATTTGTATCTTGCTGGGGAGGGTGGTTGGGAGCTTGGGTCTTGGCAGGAAATTCCTCCCACTGCTCTGAGGATCTTGAGGTTTAATTAGTCTTTCCCCCACACCATGAAGGACTGATACTTAACCCTGAGCAACGTGATTGAGTTCTCACTTTGGAGGCCCCAAGGGAACAGCCCTGGACTGACCGTGACTACTCCTTCAAAAGGCTTGTTGTAAATAGCTCCATGGGGGGATAATTCTGGGGCCAGGGCTGTCTCAATGAAGCTCCCCTTCTGGGTCTGCTCGCCATCCTGGTTCATTTGTTGCCAGTATTATTCCCGGCTGCGTGGCCTGCAGAAATGAGGCCGATGAAGCGTTGCTTGCTTGATGTTTGCAGGCCAGTCTGCTGTGGAAAGCACAGGAGAAAGGCCAAGAAAGAGAATTTGGTAACACTAGTCCTCTTGCCCCAATTAATTCTATGGCTCAGGTGCTTTTTGCAGTGAGGATGCAGAGCGTTTATGGTAGCAGAAAGCTGCATGGAGTTCTGGCTGGGCTGGTAGCCCTAAAGCTCAGTTCCATCTCTTTTTGCCTCAGCCCCCGTCCCCAGCTTTCCTTCCTCTGCACACACACACCTTGTCTGCATCTAGTAAAAGGCATGTTTCATTGCTGCATGGGTGGGGGCTCTTGTACTCCTTACTGAACAGTCCTTGGAAGTTCACCCACCTGATAGGGTGGTGCTGCTGGTGACCAACAGTTCTGGCGTTGCAGAGGTCATGTTGCAGCCTGGTCCACAAACGTGTTAGGTGTGCCGATTCTCTCCCCGCCCCGCCCCCCTTCCCTTAAGATAACACAGAATAAAGTTTCTTCCGCTGCATTAAATCATCTACCACTAAAGCATTTTAAAAAGCCAACCAGCAGACGATTGTTCAGATTTATGGGGGAAAGGCATAGAGGAGTCCATGATACTTTCCTGAACCTCACCAGTTTGTAATCATTTGTAGCTTTGTAGAACACTAAGGAGACTGTCCCAGTACATCCCGGGGGGTAGGGAGGGCTGCAGAGGCTAGCTCCTCTGGGATTTGAGGACTGGCGGGGCTTCACTAAATGTAACTGATGACACCCCCCCCCTTCCAGATCTGAAAGCACACAGGTGGTCTTGCATGTTTGGTTCTTGAATTAGAAAATGGAATTTTTTTTAGAAATGGGGGAGGGATGGGCAGCTCCTGGGCTACCTTGATAAATGCCGGCCTGTTTGGGGCAACAGCAGATAATGCTTCCCAACCTTTAGACCATGGAACTGACTTGCAAATGCCGGGCCCAAATTTTAAATCCTAACGGGGAGAATCCCTAGACAACAAGACGGAGCAAATCCCAGGTAATGAAGTTGCTGAACAGTGAGCCAAAGGAAACAGAGCAGGAGCAGGATCAAAAAACCCCACCCCATTTGCTTGTTGAACTGTTTACGGGAAGAGCCACCAAGAAGCCCAAATCAGCCAGGAAATAAGGGGCTTCTGTATCAGGTGGGCATTGAATTAACCAGGATTGGATGCCCTCTTGGTCCAATTGAGGTATTTACGGTCACTTAGAACTAGGGGGGGGGAGGTACCACAGAGATTTTTATACCCCGTGGTGTAATTGTTAATTCACTTCCATCTGGTCCAATACGTTTGCTCATCATATGCAAGGAAGGTTTGGTGTTTGACCACCCTCAGGACATGGTTAAATATAAACAGGGAGAGAAATCAGCCGAAAGCTGCACCACAAGCCGGTGAGAAAGGGCGGGTGGGGGGAAGCGCCCAAAACTAAGCTGGGACATCTGAAGGAAGGAGCTAACCAGCCTAGAAGTAAAAATTTAACCTGTCCACAAACATTTTGGGGGGAGAAATACATAGGAATTTGGTGCTTTCTGGGCCGGGGAGAGGAAGAATCCCTGTCATGAAAAAGAGGCAGAAGAAAAGGTCAATGGTTTGCTTTCGAAATAAGGTCACAAAAAAGCGCAGTATTAATTTATAGCAGAAAGATCATATCTTGTGAACTGTACATAAAGCAGTTTTTTAATGGTGCGATTGTTCGTCAGCCTTCTGTCCGATACTTCGGTTTCCACCGTGTGTTTCTTTTCCTTACCTAGGAGCATCGCGGTCGACATCTGTGGGCCGTTATGTCACTCCGGTTTGCACAAAGGATTCTTTTTGAAGGAAAAGTGGGGGTTCACATACCCGGGGCCCTTAAATTCAGTTCTCTCTGTATGCACAACTCTTTGCCCAAGGAAATCCACAGAAGGCCTTTTGAAATCTTGCCAGCGTCATTGTCCTCCGGGCAGCCGACCTGTGTACACTCCTATTCCTGTCGTGCCTGGAAGTTTTGAGATTTCAGGTGCCCGAGAGTGTAACATTCTTTTTGTGTCTGTCTGTTTCTTTTGTTATCATCCATGCTTTTGGTGAATGGAAGTTTGTTCCCCTGCAGTCACTTTGACAGGCCTGTGGAGAATGTTCCTTGCCTCTGTGACCATTTTTCATTCGAGCAGCAGCAGCAGCTTCCTTCCCCCTTGAAGGTGTTTGCAGTGTGACTTCTCTCTGAGTGCAAGTCTAAGGTCTTGCTACCCACACGTTCTATTTTTTACCAGCCTGTTGGCGTGCAAACCTCCCTTTTCTGTGGGAGTGGGTTGGGGTTCGGCCTATTTCTGCCAGTTAACTCCCATAGAAGTTAAGATGTAGAGATCATGTAAGTATCTTCTTCAGATGTAAGATGTAAGTATCAATTTTAATCCTTTCCAAGCACACAGTAGTCCCCCGCCCACCCCCCCCCCTGCCCGCCGCAAGAATGCATTTCAATTGAAGTTTGTCTGTTTTTTAAACGATTTTAAAAAAACTTGTGAAGGATGGGAAACAGAAGATGAAGGAAAATTGCATTCCCTCCCCCCCGCCCCGGCCAGCAATCATTAAGAGAATTTATTTTCTAATTGGTTGGGACTCCCCCCCCCCATGTTTCAATTAATTTCCAAAACAAATTGTTAATACAAACTGTATAAATCAGACATAATTTTCTTCACTTGTATTTTTGTTATTGAGCAAGTTTATCAAAAAATAAATTGTCTACTTAAAGCAATGGGACTGGCTTGGTCTTAACAGCAAGATGCTGAGGCATGTGGTAAGAGCAGCAGTGGATTTGAACTGCCTGCTAGGTGTGTGTGTGTGGGGGGGGGTTGTGTCAGTGAAAGAAGTGGCCATTAAAGGTCTGCACCCCTTGCCAGCTTTGGTCACTGTGCCTGGCAGGGGCAGAAATACAAACATAGAGCTGGAAGGGGCCTCGAGGGTTATCTGGTCTAACCTCTTGCACAACACAGGAAATTCACAACTACCTCCCCCCCCCCCGCTGCCTCCAGTGACCCTTGCTCTATGCCCAGAGGAACGCAAAAAACCTCCGGGATCCCTGGGCCAATCTGTCCAGGAGGAAAATCCCTTCCTGACTCCAGAGTGGTGATCGGCATTACCTTGGACACAGAAATATAGATGCTCAAGGGTTGCCTCTTGCAGAGGTAAGAAAGGGGCAAGGAAAGAATGGGACCCAGGAGGCTGCTGGTTCCAGTTTCAGCCACAAACACAACTAGATGGAGGAGGAGGAGATTGGATTTATACCCCGCCCTTCACTACCCGAAGGAGTCTCAGAGCGGCTTACAAACTCCTTTCCCTTCCCCTCCCCACAACACACCCTGTGAGGTAGGTAGGGCTGAGAGAGCTCTGACAGAAACTGCTCTTTTTCTTTTCTTTTTTTTAATTTAAAATTTTTATTTTATTTCAACTTAAACAAAACACAAACTCTTATGACTGTCAACAACAACAATGGAACTCAACAAGGTAACTACAAGAAGAGCTGTGTCAGAACTATGGCTTGCCCAAGGTCATCCAGCAGGAGGAGTGTGGAATCAAACCCGATTCTCCCAGATTAAAGTCCATGCACTTAACCAATGCACCAGACGTATATATTGCAATACTTACTAAATACACTTACCTACCTACCGTTTTCACTAAGTGATTCTAGCCTTGACACAGTCCCTGCCTGCCATCCTTTTATCCATAAGGCTTTGCTAGAACCATAACTCTTCTAAATAGATAATTTGACTATAATGAAGCATGTATGTCAAGTATACAAATACCAAGTTACCTAGTTTATAAACGAAATCAATATTAAATAGAGGAAGAAATAGAAAATAAGCTGCCTTCGGCATTGGGGATAGGCGGGATATAAATATTTAAAATGCATTAAATAATAAGAGTTATTATTATTACAAATAATCCAGTATTACATGATTTCACCATAGATTCAAGAAGAGGCTTTTGATAATCTTGGTGAAATTTATCATCTCTCAAGTGACCAATATGAACATTTTATTCAGCATTTCATGTCTTTCATCCTCTCCACGGAAATCTTTAGTAAAGGTGAAAGAGTTATGCGATCCAAGGAGAAACCAGAGTATTCATGTCGTTCTTAACCAGTTGGACAAAGGCGATTCCTAAAAACTGGAGCCCCAGCTTTGAGTTGGCAGCCTCCTGGTGGGGTCTGTCTGGAGATTTCCTGTGCTTACAACTGATCTACGGACTACAGCGAAAATGGCCCCTTTGGAGAGTGCACTGCACTCTATGGCATTTATACCCCACTGAGCTTCCTCCCTTTCCCAAGCCCAACCTCAGGGGGTCTGTCTCCAAATGTCCAGGCTTGGCAACCCTACTCAAACATTGCCTAGCAAAAGGGCTGTTCAGAGGCGTGAATAATACCCCCCCCATGCTGCTTAAGAAGTTGAGATTCCATAAAGAACTGGGATGTAAAGCATAATCTATTATATTTAGAACAATATTGAAACTAGAATATGATGTTATCTTAAGGTATACTGGAGTGACGAGGGGGGAAGCATTGCGGGAAGCCACGGGGAGGGGGAGAGTAAAATGGGGATATTGGGGGTAAAAATTGAAATATTAATGGAACTGATGACATCAATATTTTCATGAAAAATAAAATTGTGTTCAAAAAAAAGAAGAAGTTGAGATTCCATAATTTTGATCAATAAATATTAGCTAGGTAAAGGTTCCCTTGCTCGAAAGCCAGTCGAATCCGACTCTAGGGTTGCGGTGCTCATCTCCGTTTCAAAGCCGAAGAGCCAGCGCTGTCCGAAGACGTTTCCGTGGTCATGTGGCCGGCATGACTAAACACCAAGGCGCCTGGAACGCTGCTGCCTTCCCACCGAAGTGGTATCTATTTATCTACTTGCAATTTCTTGCTTTCGAACTGCTAGGTTAGCACTTGGAGTCAAATTCTTACATTTATACAAGATGGCTGCTAACCCAGCTGTATTATTAGAAAACTTGTTAAGAGTTTTAATTAGCTAGATAGACTGACTAGAATATCAAGAGGATTATTAATGTAAAATAGTTTGTTTTGTTTGCGATTCTCTGTATCAGTTGTTTTATATTTAATAAAAAATATTAAAATTTAAAAAGAAGAAGCTGAGATCCTCCTTGCAGCCCTATTTAAGCCATCCGAAGGGGGTCTACTTTGTATCCTGCTCAGGGCTATCCCGTGGGGGTCACCCCCAGGGAAATGTGCTTAGGAGGGCACTGCTGGTCCCTCCTGCCTCCCCACCTTTGTGCCCGTGCTGCGCCAGGGCTGTGTGTGTCTCTCTTCCTCCCTCCCCCGGTGAGAGTGGTTGGTTGCTTCCGTTGCTGTTGGCAACAGAAATGCAGTTCAGGCCAGGAGTGATCAGGAGAAACAGGCCGACCTTACAGCACAGGGAGCTGCATAAAAAGAACTGGAAGTTGCTGGTGAGTCCTGGACTTTTGTACGAGACTCCTTTGAAGTCAGAGCGATGGGATCTTGCCTGCCCAGGGAGAGGACAGAAGGATCAAGAATGGCCCGAAGGCTCAGCTCTGCATTAGATCCCCTATTCTGTTCCCTTTTAATATTCATTTATTTTCCTCCCCCCGTTGTTTCTAGTTCTCTTACTTTTATTCTTCATTTTGTAGATTTTTGGCACGGCGTGCACACGTTGTGCCTTCTTTCATCCATTTAATAGACATAGCATGCACAGCTGATTCAGGGATGTGCAGAAAACCTGAAAAGTGTACGCTGTTTTTGCGGGGGAAATTCAAGTGCCGGGAAATCAAAAACAGCAAGGCAATAGAGAGTCACGTAATTGTTTTTTGCAAGGGAGAAGCGAAAAGCCAAGGTGGGGATTTTGGAGGTTGAAACGTGACTTTGGAGGCAAGGAAGATAAACGTGCAACAATCCTCATTTCCCAAGAGACAGTGGCGATGTCTCTAAGCAAGAGAGCACTGGTCTTAATCTTGGGCCCAGGATCCAGTAATGTTGAGTCCCTTCTAGCTTCTCCTATTTGATGAGGTCATTTGCTGAGTCTTCAGTCCAAGACCCAACTACATGGAGGGAAGCTGTGACCAAGATACGGCCTCCGTCTTATTAGCATTTAAACACCATACAAAGATACTTTTGTTTTCAGTAGACGTTTAGTTAGCTATTAACCAAATCTATACGTTTGTTTTCCCCCTTGTTTATCTTACTTTTATTTTCTTTAATGCGGCCACTCATGTGTTTTATCCTCCTCTATGTTTTCTAGTGCTTCTTGTAACTTCATATTTAACGGCATGAGTTGTTTTATTATTTTACTGGGGGCTGCCTTAGATGTTTTATGGAAAGGGGGAATATAATATTTTTAATAAATAAAAGAGGGCTTAATACAAGCTGTGCTCTGCTGTGGAAGAGACTGCTTTAAAGAATAAAGATGCACAGAGTAAAGAATATCCCTAAGCATGTGCGGAGTGCCTTTTCTTTACTCATTAATGTCTAAAGAAGTATGTCATGCCTGCACACGGAAGCTTATACCCAGAATTAAACTTTGATGGTCTTCAAGGCACCAGCAGACACAAACTTTGTTTCGTTAATGAACAGTCATACTCTTGAATTAGGGGTTATTCAGCTTCACTTTAAATAAATGCATATATCCCACCCTTTTATTAGGCAGTTCTTGGGGCCAAGAACAAAACTGGGTAAAGAAGAGTCTGTTCAATGAACTTTTGATGATATTTTAAAATTACACAGAATTCAAGATAGTAGGCTCACGGGGGGGGGAATATATTCATAAAATCACTGTTTTTGTGGGGAATAATGCTGTGCAGTTATTTTTTAAAGCTAGCGTAGGGTTGCCTCCAGGTTGGAAAATTCCTGGAGATTTGGGGGTGGAGCCTGGGGAGGGCGGGGTTTGGAGAGAGGAGGGACCTCAGCGGGTCATGAGGTCACACAAAGTCGACCCTCGAAAGCAGCCATTTTCTCCAGGGGAACTGATCTCTGCTGTCTGGAGATCAGTTGTAATTCTGGGAGATCTCCAGGTCCCACCTGGAGGATGGCAACCCTGCATACTTCAAAGAAGGGGTTCCAGAGGATTCATCCCACCAGATAGCAAAACACCACCCCAATTTTGCATGAAAACTGAGGATTTATTTAATTTTTCAAATCTTTATGCCAACCTAAAAACAGCACTGATTAATACAGGTAAAACAAATGAACAGGAGACTTGAGCATGTAAAATAAACATTCGCAAACCCTTAGGCAGGTGTTTGTTTTTTTAAAGCAAGATGTGAAGGGAAGGGGGGAAATCAATTCAACACACACACACACCCAAACAAACAAGATGTCCTTTGTACAGTACCTAAAAGACGATGTTGGGGGGGAAATCATTCAGCAGGGATTTCTACACAGGAGGACTGACTCTCTCTCTCTCTCTCTCTCTCTCTCTCTCATATATTGAAATGCAATTGCAGGTGATTTTGACAACAGGATTTGCGGTTATAGTTTACTCAGGGAACTTGTTTTTCCAAGCTGCTGCTTCTTTTTCTTATCTTTTAGCAAAACAGAGATGACAACCAAGTTACTGGACGACAGGCAGTTCTTGAAGGAAATGAGGTAAGAGTCACCACCACTGGTGCAGGGGACGGGAGGGGCTCTCTCCAGCCACAACTCCTGGCCAAGGAGCCTCTCGACTCAGAGCCTCCCCATTGCCACAGGGGCGCTTGGGAGTTAAAACCAGCGAGGGAGACCCTCAGGAGTCCAGAACACCAGCTTTCAGAAACTAACTGCTTTCAATAATCCTTCCTTCCTTCCTTCCTTCCTTCCTTCCTTCCTTCCTTGTGAAGCTGTGTGTAGAATTCTTACCACAACTGGATGAAAAGTCACCATCATTTGGTGGCCTGCCTCGTTCACTTGGCCTTCACAGTTTAGGGCTGCCAGCTGTAGTTTGGGAAATGCCTGGAGATTTCGGGTGGAGACTGTGGAGGGTGGGGTTTGGGGAGGGGAGAGACCTCAGCTGGGTATGACGCCATAGAGTCAACCCTCCAAAAAGCTGCCATCTTGTCCAGGGGAACTAATCTGTCGTCTGGAGATCAGTTCTAGGAGACCTGCAGGTCCCACCTGGAGGCTGGTAACCCTATGACCTCCCTGTGAGGGCGAAACATTGATGACTAGGTCAAGGGGGAAGTGTTTTGATTTTCAGCTGTGAACCCATGACTTGGTGCAGACAGTGTCTGAGAATAAAGGAAATGGGAATCTGGTGCCTCCACATATGACAGAAGGTCAGACCAGGACCAACGGATTGAAATTAAATCAGAAAAGTTTTCGGCTAAACAATAGGAAGAACTTCCTGACAGAGGGGTTCCTCAGTGGAACAGGCTTACCTCGGGAGGTGGTGGGCTCTCCTTCTTTGGAGGTTTTCAAACAGAGGCCAGATGGCCACCTGGCAGCAATGCCGATTCTGTGAACTTCAGCAGATCATGAGAGGGAGGGCAGGAAGGGTTGCCTCAGTGCTTAGTTCTTGTGGCCCTTTGTTATACGCCCAGGGAAATGCTGATTGCCACTTTGGGGTCAAGAAGCAATTTTTCTCCAGGCCAGTTTGGCCAGAGATCCTGGAAGGTTTTTTGCCATCTTCTGGGCATGGAGCGGGAGTCACTGCGGGTGTGGAGGGGGAGGTATTTGTGAATTTCCTGCATTGTGCAGGGGGTTGGACTAGATGACCCTGGAGATCCCTTCCCACTCTATGATTCTATAGGGTTGCCAACCTCCAGGTAGCGGCTGGCGATCTCCTGGGATCACAACAGATCTCCAGGTGACAGTGTAACACAAGGGGTTCCTTTCTGGTGTGCCTGTCCCAATAAGACACAACAGGCGAGGTTTCTTCTTAGTAACAGGAGAATTTTTTTAAAATTCAAATAAAAGGAAAAGCCGGCACAGCAGCCGAGCCGTTCACAGACTGAGGGGAAAGACTGCCCTTATATAACATTGTATCTGTCAATCATTCCTACGCAGCTGCACTCCATAGTTTTCTTATATGGCAAGCATTTGAGTGGGAAACCAGTTACTTCCTTATTTGGCAAATATGTAAATAGGAAACCAGTTACTATGGGAAACATGTAAATCCAATCCAAAGCCTTTTATTGGCATATAAATAAAAATACAGTAATCTAAGTACACACAGAGTCAAATTAAAATTGCCGAGTAATATCACAGACTATCATCATAAAGAAAAACCTAATTCATCATATCATTTATCAGGCCGTAGGGCCATGGCACTGCAGAGAAACTTTGCTGTTATTTCAGTTATTTCTGTGTCTGTGTTATCGAGCAAGAAAAGAAGCTTAAAATCATCAGGGGACTCTAAAAAATGGCCTAATATGGGATATAGAAGATCCCGACGGGATGCCAAATAGAGAGGGCACTGGAAGAGAACATGAGCAACAGTTTCAACACAATCCTTCCTACAAGGACAGCACCTGCTAGGATAGGGAATCCCTTGGAATCTGCCAGATAAAACAGCTGAAGGAAGAACATTAAATCTAGCCAAGGATATGGCTCTACGCAAATTTGGAACTATGAGTTGATAGAGGTATACTGCTGGAAGATTTGCATTAGGAATAATCCCCAGATGTAAGGGAGAACAGGTTATGTTAGCCAGGCTATAAAGTGTTTGAGAAGCCTTTTTCTACCAATCATATAACAGAGATCAGTTCACCTGACGCAAATGGCCACCTTGTTAGGTGGGAGGTATGGTACTATACCCCATTGAAGTCCCGCCTCTCCCCAAACCCCGCCCTCCTCAGGCTCCACCCCCAAAATCTCCAGGTATTTCCCGATCCAGAGCTGGTAGCCCTAATCTGTACTCACCCTTTAGCATAGCATTTTATAACGATGCATTATGAATTCTTTCTCTCTTTTTTGCAGGGTGAATGCAGGTTCAAAGCCCCCTGTGCCAGAAGGCCGGAGACCATGGCAGAAGATTTCCCTAACCGACTGTGAATCTGACCACGGTTTATTGATTACTAATATCAACCAGGCGCACGATCTTTTGGTAAGGCAATGAGCTTCAATGAAAGAAACTTATTTGATTATATCCATCCCACCTACAGCATATTTGGCCGTGAGGCTGGCTTTTCAGTGCTCCATCAATAAACACAAAGTAGTATTGAATAAACAGTAAAAAACCAACCAGTGCTGAAATCAGTAATAAAATGCAGCTGCATTCAGTTCTAACATCGATAATCCCAGTTTCTGTAAGGATAATCAGGCATGCGGAGGGTAGAAAGCAACTTTATAATCAGAACCTCACCAGAAATACGCAAAAAAGATAGGAAAATAAAAATGTTTTTGTCTGGTGCCTAAAGCTGAAGAAACGTGGTGGTGAGTGAAGTCTCCCTGTGGAAGGAATTCTGTGGTTGAGGGGCCACAACAGAAAAGACCCTGTTTCCTGAGGCTCACTCATCTGAAAATGGGGGCACACAAAACAGGCCCTGAGAGGCGGATCATAAGCTGATGGTCAGATTCATATGGGAGAAGGCAACTTTTATGCACAGATGGATTACCTTAGAAAGTTAATGAACTGCAACACAGGGGCCTATTGTCAGGTCAGTAAAGCTGGTGAATCTCTCTGTTCATTGCTCAGCAGAGGCAGGATGTGTGATGACCGCTTGTCTCAATGGGTCTAACAAGCCATTAGTTCTTTCTGCAGCAACTTTCTTGCCTTATGAAAAACTATAGAAGTGTCCAAGACTTCTAAGTTGCTCAGTGGTATAATATTTAGTCCTTCTTTGGTACAGGTTCTTCATCAAGTTGTTGGTCTTCTTCCTGTGTTAAATGGATCCCAAGTATTTTTAACAAGGCTTTCCCGGATTTTGCATCTTTAATTTGAAGTTGAGTCCCATTTCGGAAAATTAGTATATCAGAGGCTGGGCTCCATCTAAACCGTATTTTAGAGTCAAACAGCTTGGTAGCAAACAGTTTCAAAGATTTTCTCTTTTCCAGGGTTTCTGCTGATAGGTCCAAAAGGGCTATTACTTTTTTTCCATTGTAGGATAAAGATCCTTTCAGGCGTGCCTCTCTTAGGATTCTGTCTCGAGATTTTGGGTACATAAAATGGGCTAAGATGTCCCTGGGTCGACCTCTAGCTGCTCTCGCCATGGGGCCAAGTCGATATGCACGGATTATTGCTAGAGCTACTCCATCTTCTATCTTAAGAGCTTGTGCAAGCCAGGAGGAGAGCCAGTTTGGTGTAGTGGTTAAGTGCATGGACTCTAATCTGGGAGAACCGGGTTTGATTCCCCACTCCTCCACTTGCACCTGGCTGGATAACCTTGGGCAAGCCATAACTCTGGCACAGCTGTTCTTGAAAAAGAGCAGTTTCTGTCAAGAGTTCTCTCAGCCCCACCTACCTCACAGGGTGTCTGTTGTGGGGAGGGGAAGGGAAAGGAATTTGTAAGCCGCTCTGAGACACCTTTGGGTAGTGAAGGGCGGGGTATAAATCCAATCTCTTCTCTTCTTCTTCTTCTAAATGAGGCTAGATCTGCATTCTCCTCTGCCCCCTCCTCTATGCTCCTAAATTTCAAGTTATGTTGCCTCTTTTCTAGTGCTAGAACTCTGTCCGTTATTAATGCATCCGAGGTTTAAAGCTGCCTTACCTCTGTCTGGAGGGTTAAAGACATTTCCATTGCATTCTCTGCGATTTTGGACGTCTCTTTCAGTTCTTTGCCATTTCGTTGAGCTTGGTGTGGACTGTTTGAAGCATTTCCGAAATCAATTTAGTCAGTATTTGGAATAAGTCCTCTTTTAGTTCTTTCAAGTCTTTTCTGCATAGTGGGCTATCGTCATCATCATGCCTGTCTGGCTTCGCAGGGCTTTTCTCCGCCGCCATTTCGGAGCTCAGATCTGCTCTAGAGCCTGTCGAACGAGTCGTTTTCCCTGGCGAAAAAAAGGATTTCACTGACCTGTTTTCCGCCCGTTTAGGAGTGTTTTTTTTATTTTGCAGATCTCCCCATGCTCTATGCGTTCTTTCCAGAGTGTAGCATGGTTTTTCACCAATTTTACAGGAGAGGGGGTCTGCAGCTCATTCAAATCGCATCCACCATGTTGCCACAACACTCTGCACCCCCAACTTTCTTGCCTTAAACCAGGTGTATCTGTATAACCTTAGAGTTCCAAAACACAGGTGAGCAACTACGCTCCCAAGGTTAAATACAGTACCATCTGTGATCTCTGAAGGCCGTATATTAGGAACACCATTTTCAGATATTGCAGTTGTAGCTTAGGAGTCACAGAAACTGTGATGGGTAAACTAAAGGACTGTGGACTCTAGGATAGTTAGGTGGATAAGGAACTAGTTGGAGAACCGCACTCAGAGAGTAGTTCTCAGTGGCATTTCATCTGACTGGAGGGAGGTGTCCAGTGGGGTGCCACAAGGCTCGGTTCTGGGCCCAGTACTTTTCAATATTTTTTATAAATGATCTGGATGAGGGTGTGGAGGGCTACTCATTAAATCTGCAGATGATGCAAAATTGGGAGAGCAGCGAACACACTAGAAGACATAGAATTCAATGAGATCGGAACACACTGGAAAAGTGAGTGGATGTGAACAAGATGCAAACAAGGATAAGTGCCAAGTTCTACATCTGGGTAACAAAAATTAGGAACGTGCATACTGGATGGGGGATACACGTCTGAGTAACAATGTGTGAGAACAAGATCTTGGGGTAAGGGTGGACCGAAAGTTAAATATGAGCAGCCAGTGTAATGTGGCGACAAAAAAGGCTAATGCAGTCTTGGTCAGGCCGCACCTGGAGTATTGTGTGCAATTCTGGAGGCCTCACTTCAACAAGGATGTGGACAGAATGGAGCAGGTGCAGAGAAGAGCGATGAGGATGATCGGGGGCCTGGAGACCAATGCCTTTGAGGAAAGGCTGAAGGTCTTGGGACTGTTTAGTCTGGAGAAGAGGAGGCTGAGGGGAGACAGGATTGCTCTCTTGAAGTATTTGAAGGGCAGGGAGCTATTCCTGTTGGCAGCAGAGGAGAGGAATCACAATAATGGGTTTAAATCAAGGGCAGGAAGGTACCAGCTGGATCTTAGGAAAACCTTATTTAGTGTAAGAGTTGTGCAGCCATGAAATCAGCTGCCTGGGGAGGTGGTGAGCTCCCTCTCCCTGGCCATCTTTAAGCAGTGGCTGGACAAACACTTGTCAGGGATGCTCTAGGCTGGTCCTACACTGAGCAGGGAGTTGGACTAGATGGCCTGTATGGCCCCTTCCAACTCAGTGAGTCTATGTTTCTATGTTTCATTTCAATGTCCATTGTATAAAGAGGCTAGAGAGAAATGGATTGAGCCACTTACACCCCAGTGAAATGAGTCTCCCCCAGACATTTTAGTTACTCACATTTTAAAGGATCCTAGGCCAGCACACTCTTTTTAGCAAAATTCCTTGTTCAGGCCATGAGAGTTTGGGCAGCTTATGACAAGACACCCTCTCTAACATAACATATAGCCTGTCCTCTCTGACTTGAATTCTTCCTTTCTTCCTTTCATTCTTAGCTGGAATAGATCAATATTCCAGCTATGCTCCTGCAGAGTGCAGGGGGTTGGACTAGATGACCTGCAAGGTCCCTTCCAACTCTAACATTCTATGATTCTATGAATACCTGTGGGTCAGAGGGAGGGAGGGAGGGAGGGAGGAAGGAAGGAAGGAAGGAAGGAAGGAAGGAAGGAAGGAAGGAAGGAAGGAAGGAAGGAAGGAAGGATCTTTTCTTATCATTCTTCCTGCCTCCGGGATTTATTTTGTCTCCTTTTTGGCCAACAGAGAGTGAAGAATACGGCAATGATCTGTTCTGGATTGAAGGCTACTGATGACTGGATGCAGAGTTACGGTTTAGAAAGCATGAAGCTTACATTGGAAGAGCTGATGAAGAGAGGCACTGTCGTGCTGTAAGTCTAGGGTCCTCTTTTTTCCAGGCCGGCCGGCCGGCTCTGCTCTTCTCTTCATCTTTCCAATGTTTTGCTCTTAGGGATGCGAACAACGCAGAGCAGATGGAGTTTACCACAGAGGCCATTGGTGATTTTGAATCCCGACTGCACGCGTAAGTGTCCAGCAGCCATGGGAGCACCAACTGGCTGAGTTATGCTGGCTTCTGATTCCCACACAAAGGACTCTGGGGAAATTGTCCTTTTTGGCCTTTTTGCTCTGCTGTGGAGCACCAGTCACTATTATGGGACAGTTTCAGAGAGTGGCCGTCTGCAGGAGAAGAGCTAGATTGGAGTCCAGGAGCACCTTAGAGACTAACAAGATTTTGGGGTGTGTGAGCTTTCGAATGTCCAAGCTCCCTTCATCAGATACCGGTTGCATCTTTAAAACCAACAAAGTTTTATTCCGGGCATAAGCTTTCGTGTGCAAGCACACTTCCTCAGATACAGTGAAACAGAATTTCCTCAACCATTACCTTTAGAAAGAGAGAGGGTGGGGGGTTAGTTGCCAGGGAGGGCCAATTAGAATCAAGTTTCTGTCTCTGATTTTAATTGGCCCTCGCTGGCAACTACTCCTCCCCCACTGTGACGACCCCTTATCTGGGGAGGCCTGGTTTCACTTTAAAAGTGTTCTTTTTATTTTGTTCAACTGGGTAGGTTAGGCTGCCACCAGGAAATTTTAGGCTTTCCAAACCTTTATACTTTCTTTTGGCTATCACTGGATAGGTAGGTCGAGTTTTTAAGTCTCATGAGGGTCTATGTGTTTCCTGAGGAATTATTTCTTTCAGAGCTGGCAGACTTAAATAAAAGAAGATTTATTGAAACAGTTCATAAATAAAAGGGTATAACAATGTAACCAGTAATGTGAATATTTTCAACCATTGCTTAGTGTCTCACACAAGATCCGCTCCCTTTCTGTCAGGGATTTTTCAGGTAACTTTGTAACTTTAACTCAAGGTCTTATAAGTTCACTGTTACTCTCCAACAGGACATACAGCCTTTCTTATATTTTGTCTTCAATTAAGCTTTCATTTACTTTTTCTTATTCTCTCTAACTTCCTTCATACACAGAACTAACTGAACTTTTCTCTGCTTCTCTCACAGACCTCAGAAAGAACTAACAGTTCCACTATCTTCATCAACTGTCTAAAACTGTAACTGTCACTCTTGACAGACATACATATTCATCCACTCAGAAACACTTCCAAAACCCCTCCCCCTCTCTGTCAATCACCAATCACCCCACACTTGCCTGTTTCAACCACTCTAGACTATCACACAGCCATGCAACCAAACTTTTAAAGAGACACACACACATATAAAACAAGGAATCGTTACACCCACCCTCTCTGTTTCTATAGGTAATGGTCGAGGAATTTCTGTTTCACTGTATCTGAGGAAGTGTGCTTGCACACAAAAGCTTATGCCCGGAATAAATCTTCGTTGGTCTTAAAGGTGCCACTGGACCCTAACTTTGTTCTATTGCTTCAGACCAACACAGTGACCCACCTGGATCTATCATCAGATACCATTATGGAACAGTGGTGGGCTTTGCTGGTCTGTACCAGCCACATTGGAAGCCTTCCTCCAAATGAAGTGGCACTTCTGATAGTGGAAAAGATAGTGGGAAGGAGGCTCCTTAACGTGTAGGAAAGCTTCCAGCCTTGCTGAATGGTTGAATGCAGGCTGGTGTTTCCAGTTTCTGGGCCAAGAAACAGGGCCACCGTTTCAGGTAGCACAGCTGGGGAAGACCCTAGCCTGCCAGCCGGAGACCTCAGAGAGCCCCAGCTAGTAAAATTAAGCAATACTGAATGAGAAGCAGAGCAAATGTGGTGCAGGGGTTGTAGTGTTGGACTAGAATCTGGGAAAGCCAGGCTTGAATCCTAACTTTGCGGGATGACCCGGGAGCAATCACACACAGACATGAACGTACCTCAAAGGGTTGTTGTGAGGATAAAATGCAGGAAAGGAGAATGATGTAAGTCACTTTTCCCCAGTGGGAGGATGGTGGGGTATAAATGAAGTTACATACATGGTCTCTCATGCAGGAAGTCCCAGGTTCATTCCCACGTATCCAGTGTTCCCTCTAAGCTGAGTTAGTGTGAGCTAGCTCACAGTTTTTTAGCCTCCGGCTCACACAGTTTTTGTCTTAGCTCAGGAAGGATGGCTCCAGAGCAAACTAATTTATGCAGTAGCCAAATTGCTCACTCACAACTTAAATGCCAGGAGCTCACAAAGGAGAATTTTTGCTCGCAAGACTCCACAGCTTAGAGGGAGCACTGGCGTATCTCCTGTTAGCCAGAGTGAGACAGACCTCATTCCGAGATTCTGGAGAGCTCCTCTGCTATTAGGGAGTGATGGTCTGACTCAGGATAAAGCAGCTCTGTATATTCTCCCCACTAAATTGTGGTGCAGAATAAATAAGACCATCAACCCACCCCTCGCTGTGCCGCAACAAGACGCACAGTCTGAGCTTGCTCTCTGTTTGCCTCTTCCAGAGCGATCGATCTTTATGACAAACGGATCCAGTGGCTATTACAAGACAGCCGAAAGGTAATATGGCTCGGTCTGTTCAAATAAAAGGGGGGGGGGGACCCATCGAAGCCATATAAACGGGAATTTTTTTTTTCATAACATTAAAAAACTCCGCCACCAGGAGGCTGTGAATTACACAAGAGAAGAAAGAGGTTTCAGATGTGCTGCTTTGGTTTCAGACTTGCGCTGCTTTGTGCAGCCCGCCATTAGCCTGCGGAACTCTTTGCCGCAGGATTTTGTCGTTTCATGCTGACTAATATATGTGATTCTCATTGGTGGCTAGAGAATGCAGTTCCTGTTTCACAGCCCATATCCCTGCTTGCCAAATTGAGGCGGGGTGTGCGTGTGCTAATGTAGCCTCTTGCTTGCTGTGATAACAGGAGGGACCATGGCTCAGTGACAGAGCCTCTGCTTGGCATGCAGAAGGTTCCAGGTTCAATCCCTGGCATCTCCAGTTAACAAATCTGGTGGTAGGTGGTGTGGAAGAGCTGCAGCCTGAGAACCGGGAGAGCCGCTGCCAGTCTGAACAGATGTTACTGCCCTTAGATCAAGACGGGCAGCCATGTTAGTCTGGCTGTAGCAGCAGAAAAGAGCAAGAGTCCAGGAGCACCTTATTTATTTATTTGATTTATACCCCGCCCTCCCCACCGAAGCAGGCTTAAAAAGTGGGCTCTTTATGTAGCAGGAACTCCTTTGCATATTAGGCCACACCCCCTAATGTAGCCAATCCTCCAAGAGCTTACAGAGCTACAATGCGCTTTTGTGAGTCACTGCCTGAAGAAGTGAGCAGTGACTCACAAAAGCTCATCCCCTGCCACAAACGCTGACATTGATGGACCAAGGGTCTGATTCGTTAAAAGGCAGCTTCACGTGTGTTCGTGGAATGGTTTGTCTAAAGACACTCTCTCTAAGTATGCAAAAGTACCTGAGCGTGGGACATCCTCCTGATTCATAGCTCAGGGCCAATTGGCATGCCACAAGTCCCTGTGACCAGATGGGCTTGGATAGTTCTGTGTTTGGAACTTAATTCCCAGGCCTGCAGGGAGGCCCAGTTCACAGTGGGACCGTGGAACTTTGGGGGGAAGGAATCTAAGCCTCCCCACCCATGCTGTTTTCATCTAATCTGAAACTGCTCCAGTGACCTGCTGTTCTCCCAGATGCAGAAACCTAAGTGAACCTGAGAACGGGCCATGGCTCAGTGTGGCAGAGAATCTGCTTGGCACGCAGAAGGTCCCTGGCATCCCCAGTTAAATGGACCAGGCAGCAGGTGATGTGAAAGACTACCTGAGGGGTAGTCTTCTTTAGAAGCGTGCCTGCACACAAAAGCTTATACCCGGAATTTGTTGGTTTTAAAGGTGCCCACTGGACTCAAACTTTGTTGTATTGCTTCAGACCAACTTTGAAGATGTGTGCATGCGCATGAAAGCTTATCCGCAGAATTAAATTTTGTTGCTTATGAAGGTGCCACTGGACTCAGACCTCGTTCTCTTGCTTCAGACCAACTTCAAAGAAGTGTGCCTGCACATGAAAGCTTATACCCAGAATTAAACTTTGTTGGTCTTCGAGGTGCCGCCGGACTCAAACTTTGTTCTAGTGCTTTAGTTTGCATGTGGGTACAACAGAAAGTTGGGATGTAGGCCAGCGATCGCTAGGGACCAGAATTTGGTTGTTACAAGATTTGGTTTTCTCCATCCTTTTCCTTTCCCCTTCCTTTAGCTGTTTGGCATTATACACGGGAGCAGAATTGGGGTTCTGATTGACGCGTCTGATATCACTTGTGGGCCGAGACTCCTCGATTTCCAAAAAGACCTCCTGGTAAGATCACTGAAGCACACGTAAGCGCTGGTGCTCCGTCATAAGCATGGCCAGAGGTAGTGCAGGGTGTCAGACCGGGGAGACGTCTCTCCTGGGAAGGCAGCTTTTTCTCTGCAGAACTCCATTCCGGGCTGCTTGGAACATCTCTCTGAAGTTCAACCGGCACAGCAAACGGCAGCATTTCCCTCCTGCTTGGTACATGTTACCTCTAGTTTTACCCCAGTTTATGTATTGACTCGAAGTTGCACATTTTGTTCCCCCAGTGTTTAGTTGATGAGCAGTTGTGCTACGTGAAGCGCCTGTATTTTCTTTCCTTCGGTACCGAAGTCTCGCCTCTTTGGAAGGAGTCCAAACCCATCAACGTGGATGTGTAAGCCGTGAGCCGCTTGATGCTTAATGGAGTCAGAGTTTCAGCTAGGCATCCTCATTCAGTGGGTTGGCCTGGTTTCTGGGTAAAAGAAACTGATGGGGTAATCCAGGGACTCCCTATATAACCAACAGAAACCTCTATAACCTGGTTGTCGAGGCGGGGGGGGGGGCACCTATTCGTGCCTAAGAAACATGTCTAAATGACTGGGTATTTTGAGGAAAGGGTCTGATTTTGGGGGGGGCTTGGTACAATAATAATTATTGTACGGCATTGTGTGCATTATAGCCAGGAGATCCGAAGGTTGTCTGGCAGCCTTAAATTCTAACTGCTTTCCCTTCCCCTCCCCACAACAGACACCCTGTGAGGTGGGTGGGGCTGAGAGAACTCTGACACAAACTGCTCTTTTTCAAGGACAGCTGTGCCAGAGCTTGTGACTGACCCAAGGTCACATCAGCAGGTGCAAGTGGAGGAGTGGGGAATCAAACCCGGTTCTCCCAGATTAGAGTCCGCACACTTAAGCACTACACCAAAGTGGCTCTTAGTGACTATGAAACATTAGCTAAATGCAGGCCCATAGCTATGGTGGGGCCTCCCAGGGCCCTGCCCCCCAACTTCCTGCCAAGGCCCCCAACTCTCTGGGCCGCCCAGAGGACTCCCCACCGGAGCTGGTGGTGGCCCAAGGCTCCCAGGTGAGGCCAGCACTTGAAGGAGAATCAGGTTGTGCAGTGGCCGCCAGAGGAAGCAGTGTGAGGCAGCCAGGAGGGTGGGTTAGCAGGCGAGGTGGGGCTGGCAGGAACTTTCATTCAGAGAGGAAAGGAAGCCAGGGGTGGCATGGGCTGTGGAGGCAGCAAGAGCTGGGCCACGGGGGACTGGCACCAAGGAGCCAAGGGCGGAGCAGGGCATCCGTGCCGCACCCTTCCATGGCCGCTGCCAGGAAACGTGCTGTCCGCTACCTTGGGTCAGTCATAATTTCTTTCAGAAGGAGAATCAGGTTGTGCAGCGGGCAGTGTGAGGCAGCCAGGTGGGTGGGTTAGCAGGCGAGGTGGGGCTTTCATTCAGAGAGGAAAGGAAGCCAAGGGTGGCATGGGCTGTGGAGGCAGCAAAAGCTGGGCCACGGGGGACTGGCACCAAGGAGCCAAGGGCGGAGCGGGGTATCCGTGCCGCACCCTTCCATGGCCGCTGCCAGGAAACGTGCTGTCCGCCTGTGCCTGTCCTGGCCGGGAGGCAGGAGAAGAGAGGCGCAATGAGTCCCTGCTGGGGAGGGCAGGGTCCCACAGGCCAGCCGGAGGGGGGCTCTGGGATCAGACTGCAGATGGGGGGGAGAGGAACCCCCCCCAGTCCAGTGGCCCTGTACAGACCAGCAATGCATTTCCCCAGAGGTGCATTCCAGAGTCACTCGCTGCCCCATTCCATGGCTCCTTGCTTCAGCTGGGGGAGGGGTGCGGTGGTCATGGTGGTGGGGGGAGGGTGAGCACTGCTTTGTCCCACTGGAGCCTGGCGCCCCCCTTCCCTCCAGCCACCACATGTGAAGACCGGCTGGGGCAGGGGGGGCAGTCAGCCTACGTGAGTTTCTTTAATTTTATTTTTATTTCAGTGCCCCCTAACTTATTTAAAGCACCCCCCCAAAATAAAAAAAATCCCTGGCTACGGACCTGCCTAAATGACTGGATATTCCCAGGAACAGGGCTTTCCCCCCTCTTTTTGTAGTGGTCTCAGAACTCCTTCTCTCCCGTGAAGTTCAGCCGTCCCTCTCTGTTTTTCTTCCTTTGAACACTAAGAAGGGCATTTTCATTTTGCCAGGCCCTTGGAAATCAGGCGTTTTAAAGATAAATTGTGCCTCCTTTTCATGGATGGAGGAGGATGGCTTAAGATGGTGCTCCACAGGAATGTGTTCTAACTGCCCCCCCCCAAGGGTGTGTGTATGGGGCTGTCAGCCCCCAGGTCCGGGGGGGGGG